ACTCAACAACTTTGCCAAAAAAAGTTCAACAAATTTAACCCTAAATAAACACAATGTGACAAAGACAACCAGAGAAGACAGAGAACACACTCACAGAGCAGCTCTGTGAAAGCAGCCATGAAAGCAGTGATGGGCACACATAGAGGGGGCATCTGTAATCATCTTGTAGCCCAGACCAAAATTGTAAACATAAGAACTAAGAACTGCATATGCTGATATGGCCTCGGGCAACAGCACAGGTTTTGCATGCATGAGGATCCACAGCCTAAATGTAGTATATTAGCTAAAAAAAGGAAGCAGCACACCACAGTTCAATGGCACAGCTATTTACAGGGAGTGGTTCATGGACCAATAACCTCATAAAACTAATTGTTTTGCTCTTTTGTGCCTCAATATGCTTTTCACTCTTCCCAGCATGCTTCATCTCACCCATGAACAGGGGTCAGCAACCTTTTTCAGCCTCAGACCATGTGGTGGGCTGGACTATATTTTTTTTGGTGGTGGGGGTGGGGAAATGAATGAACTCCTATGCCCCACAAATAACCCAGAGATGCATTTTAAATAAAAGCACACATTCTACTCATGTAAAAACACCAGGCAGGCCCCACAAATAACCCAGAGTTGCATTTTAAATAAAAGGACACATTCTACTCATGTAAAAACATGCTGATTCCCAGACTGTCCATGGACTGGACTGAGGCAGTGATTGGGCTGCATCTGGCCCACGGGCCTTAGGTTGCCTACCCCTGCCCAAGAACATCCCTCTCATGTTCCATTTGCTTGGTTCTTCCTCCTGCTTACTGCAGGAGTTCAGCAGTCCTTATTATTAGTGCTCTCCTGAAACTTTCTCCCACTTCATTTTAATCAGTTACTGAGAATATAATTTGCGTTATCAAAGGGGAGACAATTTCTGTGTGAAATTTTTATGGGTGGGGTGCAAGGTTGTGCCTCGCTTCGCTTTCAAGGAGGCTAGGGTGTGTTTGTGAGCATGCTTTCTACAAGTCCATGCTTGCCTTTCCCAAAAAACCCACAACATCCTTGGTTGGGCTTTCCTGGAAGGCTTGGAGGCTGTCACCTGTGTTCCTTAATTTATTTATTTTTTAATGCAAAGCCTTCTTTACTTTTAAAGAAATCAGTGTAGAAATACATTTTTAAAGGTAAAAAAAAATGCTTCCCTTAAAAATATATTGAGTGCTTCATGTGATAGCTCCTCCCATGGGACCATTTCAGATTAGCAAGTACAGGATAAATACTTTAATTCCAACATGCATGTTTTCACACCAACAGGAACCAGGGGGAATTGTGCGCTATTATTTCCCCCCACTCTTACTAGAACCCATGTGGCTAGAATATTGTCAAGATGCAGATCCTGAGTCTAGTAGGGCACGGCCTGGATCCCCCTCTTTTGGTCCTATTCTGAGGCAGCTGAGGTAACTGGCAGATGGGGGCGGGAAGGACTCCTGCTTGCTGATTCCTTACTAACAGATGACCAGCAAATGTTAAACAAGCAAAAGAAAAAGAAAAGAAAAGAACAGCATAATGAAGGCGTAAAGTTCTTCCTTGTATGGAAGTCTGATCAATATAAAACCAGAGTCATGTAGACCTGTGGAGCACAACCTCTCATCTGAGTTGTTGTTGTTTTTTGTTTATCAACCACTCTCAATCCTAACCTGATAACTGCCATTTGTCCAGATTTTAATTTGTCTGAATTAATTTTAAAATGTATTTTAATTAATTGATGCCTGTTTTTATGTATACAGTGGTACCTCAGGTTACAGACACTCAGGTTACAGACTCCGCTAACCCAGAAATAGTACCTCGGGTTAAGAACTTTGCTTCAGGATGAGAACAGAAATTGTGCAGCGGCGGTGTGGCGGCAGCAGGAGGCCCCATTAGCTAAAGTGGTGCTTCAGGTTAAGAACAGTTTCAGGTTAAGAACGGACCTCCGGAACGAATTAAGTACTTAACCTGAGGTACCACTGTACTGTGTTAATTATATGATGTTAGCCACTCTGAGCCCGGCTCCAGCTGGGGTGGGCGGGGTACAAATTATTATTATTATTATTATTATTATTATTATTCATTTGTGACTCACCTTCCACATATGTGTTCCAAGGTGATTTGCAGGCATATCCTTAAAAACAGCTAAAATAATTTTTAAAACGGTACAAGAACAACTGAGCATAGATTTAAAAAACAACACAAAGTTAACAACTAAGGCAGAGATCTTTTCATCTAGGTGTAAAAGCTTGTCCTATCCCGCTGGGTTGCCTAGCAGGATTTACATACACCGTAGATATGCCTACAAAGCCAGTGGAGTCTGAAGTGTAGGTGTTTATGACATCAGGCCTTGCAGCCCAGGAAGCATGGTTAGAATTGCTTCAGAAACTGGTTGCGAGTATGCCTGTTAGCATTTTTTGTGAGAAAGGGATGCAGTTTTATTTATTTATTTATTTATATTGGTATACTGCCCTTCTTCCGTATATCTCAAGGTGGTTCACAACAAATACAATATAAAAAACACAAAATACATAATAAAAACAAGAACAACTCCCCCTTCCCCCCCTTACAAACCAATAAACTCGCCTCCCGCCACAAGCATGTTTATAAAAGGGGTATAACTTGTTAATCCACTAAAGACCTGGTTGAAGAATTATTGTTTAAATTACATGATCAAAATTAATTAATGTTCCACAGCATTTTTGGATGTTTTTTTTTAATGGGCACTAGCATATTGAATTTTGTTTCATGAATCAGAACATTTAAAACATCATTCTAATAATATTCCAAGGTAAAGGTAAAGGTACCCCTGCCCGTACGGGCCAGTCTTGACAGACTCTAGGGTTGTGCGCTCATCTCACTCTAGAGGCCGGGTGCCGGCGCCGTTCGAAGACACTTCCGGGTCACGTGGCCAGCGTGACGAAGCTGCTCTGGCGTGCCAGCACCAGCGCAGCACACGGAAACACTGTTTACCTTCCCACTATAAAGCGGTACCTATTTATCTACTTGCACTTTAAGGGTGCTTTCGAACTGCTAGGTGAGCAGGAGCTGGGACCGAACGATGGGAGCTCACCCCGCCGCGGGGATTCGAACCGCCGACCATGCGATCGGCAAGTCCTAGGCGCCGAGGTTTTACCCACAGCGCCACCCGCGTTCCAAGTTAGTAGCCTAGATAATTTTTTTCTAGGCAGATCATGGCTGTAAGTGTACTACAGAGTGCTTTGCCAATTAAATATGATACTTCTGCTTTCAAGTTGTATGACAGGGCATGCCAGTTGTGAGTGATGTCGTCTCAGCAGATTGAGAAGCATCAGTTTGTCTGAGTCTGATGGGATTAAAAGTTTTCCTCACTGTGGTGAGGAAAGGATTATAAACTTTCAAGGCTTCTTTTGTTTGGGAAACATTATGGTGTACTGGGAAGGATGAAAGGGGGGGGGGAATGCAGCAGAAATAACTTCTTTCTAAGAACATTTTTCTAACATTTCATCTGAAGGTAAATACTGGTTAATTTCTGGTTTGGCCTAGTTGATGCTATTCTAAATTATTTCACAGTCCTTATTTTTTTTATTAACCTAGGTTTTGTTGCAGGATTGTTTTGGTTTTTACAACCTGCCTTATAGCCACATTTTTCCTCACATCAATCATGCATTATCAGATGTTCTTTCATTCGGTGGTCCAGCTGTGGGCATCTGCAGGAATGTTCCCTGAGGAGTAACACTTCATTTACATTTCATTATTTATTAATAACCAAATGAGCATAACTAGCATCAGAGAACTACCATTTTTGGTAGATTTGTTACTGAGCAGCACTGAGGACTGAGTACACCTGGCCTCTGATAAAGGGGTTTTTTTTTTGTTTCTCAACAGGTAGACATATTGTTCATGGACAGATCTGACATACAAAGCATTGTCCCTCCACCCACAGCTAAAATCCTAATTTCTTTTCTCCGACCCCCTCCAGCTCTTAATTGCACTGTGCTACAATCCAGTTTAAAGCACCTATATTTTTCTTATCATAGACTTAAATCCAGGCCTTTCTTTCAGCTGGAAATTGTTGGACCTCTCAGGTGGGTGCCACTGCTATTATAAGAAAATGATACATTAGTATACATGTAATATATAAGGTTATAATTCTTGGTCAACACCATCTTCAAGTTCAGTCATGATTACAGTCGAAAGCTGTCCTCCTCCTAAACCAAATTTCTAGACCTCTAGCCAGAAAAGATGCTGTCTGTTCCCATCATGTTATATGAGCAATACTGTACTCAGCGCATTTGAGCAATGTTAAGTATTCTGTTAAGAAGCAGCAAAAATAGGAAGGCCGGGAGAGACCTGTGTCATTACTTTTTTTTTTAAGTCTTAGAAAATTTACAAGGATTCTTTTTAGTGGTGTTTTGAAAATGTCTTAGCATAGAGTGCATGTCTCACACTAAGGTGATATATTGTTCGCTTAAGCTCCCGGTGGGCTATTCCTGTGTTTGTTCCTTTTTAGTTGCTCTTGCAAAGAGTTGCAAGTTCTGCTTCTTTTAAGTGGTGCAGAGGGGAATGCTGCCGCTTGCTACTTCCTGGCCAATAATGTATTCTGCTGAAGTGAACAAGTCAGACTATAGAACAAACTTATACATTCTCTTATTTTGCAGCAGCATTTTGCTCACAAATCACATGGACTTCAGTGAGCTAGCTAATAAATATGTTGTTGTTGGCATTCAAGAGACAATGGAGTGTGCCTCTGGGGGTGAAGTAAAACTGTTGCTTTGGAGCACCAAAGTGACCTCCCTGGAGTGCAGGCCTGAGGTCCTGTGCCACCCAGATGACAAGACCCCCCTCTTGGCCTCCCTAATGTGGTCCAAAGGAAAGCAGAGCAATATGTTTGGCACCAGCTCAGCTGCAGGAGTTGCCATCCAATCATCTTGGAGACTCCATCCTGGATTTGTGAAGGGTTTACTCTTTAGCTTTTTCTTCTCCCAAAGATATCCCACAAGATAAACGGATACAAAATCCTTCCAGTAGCACCTTAGAGACCAACTAAGTTTGTTATTGGTATGAGCTTTCATGTGCATGCACGAAATGTCCACCATGTCTCATACCAATAACAAACTTAGTTGGTCTCTAAGGTGCTACTGGAAGGAATTTTTTTTATTTTGTTTTGACTACGGCAGACCAACACGGCTACCTACCTGTAAAGATAACGGATGTTTAGGATCAGAGTTTTCCTTCTAGATGGGCCACCTTCTCAGGTTGATGAGCTCCATCTGCCCCTCACTAGAGGGCTACAGCACATGCAGAACTGCCTTCTTGACTGTTGGACCCACTATCGATCTGGTCCACTCAATCTGCTAGAGCCTGTCTTTGGATGCAGGGGAAGTCCCTAACTCATCAAAAGTTTGAGACCCATCGACTACCCTCACCTGGCTTAGCCAGCCAGTTAAAGTCATTTCCCAGAGTATGGCTGCTGTCACAATCTGACAGTTTCCAGGAGCCACAGGTGAGTGCAGGGTGGGGACCAAAGATGGACAAACTACCCCAGAAGGAGCACAATGTGACCCCCACCATACGTATCCCCCACCCTTCCATATAACCCAGTTTATAAATAAATAGGCAAGAAGTGAATTGAACTATCACATTAATATGGAGAATATTTTTTATTTGTTGTTATGAGACACTTTGATTATATAATCAAAATTTGTTTGTTTTCTTGAGATAATGCTTCTAGGCTTTGGACTGATCTCACAGTTAAGACCCTCATGTAAAAAACAGTTTCTGTTTAGGGATAAGGAAGACATTCAGTTTGGCCAAATTTGCACTTCCCCAAACAATGTAAAAATTGAAACACTGCTACCCTTTGATGTTCATGCTTTTCCAGTTTTTATGATTCAGCCAAACAATGTGTACAAAAATATGCATACTAGGGGAAAGTGAGTAAAAGTGCATATATTGGTAAACAATAGCATATAAAACACATTATATTAGAGGAAATAGCTTGCAAAATGTGTATATTAGGAAAATATGTATATGTCAATATGCATTTTAGGAGAAAATACTGTTGCATTATCATAAGGAATTTTAAATATAATTCACAGAAGTGATGAGGAAATGTGGGGCACTGACTTTAAGACTCAAAAAGAAAGGAAGAAACAAAGAAGCCAAAAGTGACAGATTTCTCTACCCCTAGTTTTGATTCCTCATGGGCATTATAGTATATGGCAATGCTTATTACATGGATCTTCTGCTCCACATATAAAACCTCCATATCCACTGCTGCTGGGAATGTACATCAATGTTGTGCATATCCTCTTTGCAGCAACCCCCATCTGTTTGAACAACATTGTATTTTATGTTGTATATCTGTTTTTTTGATACTTTTATTATATTGATGCTGTGTTTTTGTATAGCACTTAAATATTTTTAAATATTAAGTGGTTTAGAAATACTTTTTTAAAATAATGAATGAATGAATGAATACAGAGTGAGAAATGTGAATAAGGCACTCCAGAATGTTTAACCTACAGTGCTGATTCTCATTATGTTTCTCTACAGAACCTCACCAGTAGAGGTTACAACCCTAGTATTCGATTTCCTTATCTTCATTTAAGAGGAGAGCGAGAGCTGAGCTGAGCTGAGCGATCCTGATCTTGCCAGAGGTGAAGAAACTGCTTTATTTGCTGTCAGTACACTTCAATAGGAGTCTGCAGTTTTTGGCTAGTCTTGGTTCCTCCCTGCTGCGGGCTGGATGGAGGCAAGCATCTCTGCCCCACAACAAAGGAATCTTCCCAACATTTCCTGCAGGAGGGGAGTAGCCAAGCTTCCACTGCAGATGTGCAGTGGAGTTCAGAACCCCACCACAAAGTAGTAGCTACAGTAGTAGCTGCTCTTTCCTTCAGAAAAGTGGGGAGCATGTACTGCTGTTCAACGGGAATCAATAGTTACAGGATCCTTTGCTCCTTTCTCCTGCAGAAAAGGGAGACAGGGAGCATTCTTTCAACCCTCTGGCTTTCATCCTAGCTTTGGCACTGAGGAGGATGTGAGGATCATCACAAAACTGATGGGGTTATCTCCACTCACCCCTACAGCTTCAAATAAGAAAGAAAGGATTTTCACTCCTGCTCATAGGGGCAAGTGTAATTGTAAAAATCTCTACTTCTTTTTATTTGCTAATATTTTTGGAGGCTGATGTTTGTTAGAAAAGTAGCATGTAAAGGAGAGGACTTCTCTAGAATCCTGCTGCTTGATGTGCCAGTTTTCTGTGTGCGGGAAGCACTCATTTCCCACCTACAGTCCAGGAAAATCAGTGCCACTTAGTTTCTTTACCTGTGTAAGATTCGGTCTATATCAGTGCTTTGTTCTGAGTCCAAGTACCAGGTTGACATAGTTTTCAAGTCTTTTTCTTTAAATATACTGCATGGTATGTGTCTCTGTGTGTACACATACACATATAGCCTTACGTTGCAGCCACATTTAGTCTCTGCTCAACAGCTGAATTCACATAGATAGCTCATTACCTTTGGTGACTGGCCACATAGCACAAATAAACTTGCTGTACACTCATAATCATGTAGGATTATTGGGACAGAGCAAGGCTGGCTTTGTTACCTGAACACTCTCCATTGACAACTGACTTGCTGTTCAGATGCATCCACCATATGGATCTGCAACACCCAGATCCACCCTAACAATATTTCTTCAGTATGAAAGGCTAAGCAGGGTTTTGAATCCAAAGAGAACGGGAGAGTTCATCTTGAAGCAGTAGCGAGGAAAGTCAGGGTTTGAAGGCATGTGCAGCTGCAAAAAGATCAATGACAACAACTAGGTTGGAAAAAGGGGCCTTAGGAAATGATCTATACCAGCTGATGTTGATAGGGGAGGAAGAATGTGCCTTCAGAACCTAATGGGGTGGGGCATGTTTGGGTATGGACAGGAAAGGCAAGCCTGTAGACTGTCTCTTCTCATTTGCTTTTATGGCTGCTGCTTAGAGGAATCACTTAAGCAGCCCAGGAAAATTTATCTGACAACTGATGATGTTTGTGTCTAGACCACAGAAATTGGCTAGGGGTCTGTAAAATGAAAGTGGGAAATTAGTTCTTGGAACTGGATAAGGCTTGTGTTTGTGATGTGGGGAAAAGAGTTGAGGCATAGTTTAGTTTGGTTATAGCACTGTACTCTTTTGGGACTCCTGGTTTTACAATGCAGCTTGCTTTTTTGTAGCAGCAGGATAAAAATGAGATCTGTTTGTTTATTATGATTATTGGGTTAAATTTAATTGTGTAGTTTCTTTCCACTGCACCCCCTCCAATTTATATAAGACTGGAAGGAAAGAATTAACTCTTTGTTTTCCAATAGATGGTTTTGCTCAAGCAGTATGTTTAACTGAATAGGCCTTACCCTACATCTCAGGGTAACCCTGAGAGTCATTGAATTGTTTTAATGATTCATGGGATCATTCATCCCAACCTCTGCTTTAAATGGCAGCCATTGCTGTGGCCAACTCTGAACATTTTAGTTGGCTCAGATGGATTCTTTCACATATAGTTTGTAATAAACCCGAAGCAGTACTGTGCACACTGGGCCTTTGCTTGAGCTGTGCTTGGATCAAAATTCCACACACCCCTTTTTGGAACGATGAACAAAAATATGCCTGGTGGTTTCAAATTGCAGATTATAGGGGCTAAAACAAAACAGTCCTTTTAAAGACAAAGTATTTCAAGCTGTTGCTATGTAATTGAGTTAAGTAATAGCAATTCCAGTTTCTCTGTAGCAAAGTATATATAAAATATAGTTTGCTTTTGTTTTCAGAGGTTTTGTCATCATTATATTTTTCTATTTTTCTTGTCCTCATTTCAGTACATAGTTCACAAATCCACATTTTAAAGTTTCAGCTAATGCCACTATCGCCCTCTTCACTTCATGGAACAAGCATGTATGCGAAAAACAGGCCCTGTGGACCCACCCCTCCCACAAATATTTGACAGATTGTGAATATGAACAGCATATATTGGCTGGTGCTCTCTGCCACACCAGACTCTTGTTTGCTCATGTGTCTGGCAAGCATAGGACAAAAAGCAGAATTCTGAAGGTTTGTCTTCTATACCCATAAACCACCCATTTAACTTTAGGTTATTAGTCCTGCAAATTCTCAGTTCAGTGGCTCAAGCAACAGGTATTAGCTAAACCCAGTTCTCTTCCTATAGTCAGTATAACTGATGTAGGGAGTGTTCACTGATACCCTGTGCCCAAGGGCCCCCAGAAACCTGAAGCCAGTCCTGGCTGTATGCTTCACTGAGCTGTCTCTATGCTTTAAAGGGGGACTATTCCATTTTATGTCATTTGGGCTTATGCAGCATATTGTTGTCATGTTTTTCTTCTAAGGCCTAACAGTCTGAGAGCCCATGATGTTTATGCATTGTTGATGTTAAGTGTGGAGCATGTCTGGATAGGAGATTGCCTGGAAGCCCCATGTATCCCACTAACTTTCCTGGGTTTCCCTAAAGAAACTGTTAATTTTCTACTCTTATCTGTCTTCCTGGCTCGAGCATCTCTCTCTCTCTCTCTCTCTCTCTCTCTCTTTACAGTTCAGAATTATGACTTGTAGTAAAAGTAGAATCTGTCTAGACTTTGAATTGCTTAGTAAGGAGGTGGTGAAACAGATGCATCAATTGTAAGCTGATGATACAGTAATTTTCTGGCTCATCCAATAACTCTCTAAATGCATTTCAAAGAGGATTCAATTTATTAGCAGCCTTTGTTGCTAGGTATAAACCCCTGGACGTAAATCAAAGCATGGCTGGAAGTAATGAAAGGCACAGTACGGCTAGGCAAATGTCTGATTAGGGATTGGAAGCTGTCATGTCCTACCCCTAGAAAAGAACCCCATCATTGGAGTCAATGTTTTGGAAGATTTATGACCTGTGATGTAGTGCCCCCTTATTTAGAAATTGTCAGTTTATGGGACCATTTGTTTTTCTTCATCCATGGTTACTTACTTTCTTGATAGAATGTGGAGAGGGTAAAGGAGGCATCTGAATGAATCCCAGTCTGACTTCTAATTTTTGTGCACTGTTACAAATGCTTCAAAATTATTGAATGTAGTGACACTAGGCGGGAAGCTTGGCTGGTGACTGAATACTCTGATGATTACTTCATCCCCTCCAGTAGTCAGACTGAGCCAGCTAAAAAACAACAACAACAAAGTCCCAGAAGTGACTGTGATGCTCAGCCCCCAAGCAGGATCTGCACTGCTCACTGGATGAAGGTGAACTGCAGCCTTTTTTTGAACATCAGGGAAAGAGCCAGGTGTTGCAACGAAATAGAAAATATACATCAAGTCCCTTAAGGAAAGCTACATTGTTGGCTGTGCCACAGATGTGCTGCATGAGTTTTGTGTTTGCTTCCAAATCTCTTTGCCTCTTCTATTAGGTGAAGTCCAGTTCTCAGAGATGGTGCAGCTTTTCTCATCCTCTGTTGGCCATGTTGATAGGCTTGCATTGTACAGAATTTAAAGGTAAAGGTAAAGGACCCCTGACAGTTAAGTCCATTTGTGAACGACTCTGGTCTTGCGGTGCTCATCTCGCTTTACTGGCTGAGGGAGCCGATGTTTGTCCGCAGACAGTTTTTCCGGGTCATGTGGCCAGTATGACTAAGCCGCTTCTATCGAAACCAGAGCAGCACACGGGAACACTGTTTACCTTCCCGGCAGAGCGGTACCTATTTATCTACTTGCACTTTGCTGTGCTTTTGAACTGCTAGGCTGGCAGGGACCGAGCAACGGGACCTCACCCTGTTGCGGGGATTCGAACTGCTGACCTTCTGATCGGCCGGCCACTAAGGTGGCCAGTCTGAAAACTGGGTAGAGCTCATAGCTTTACAGTACTTGCAAAGCAGAAAGCTTAACTCTCGGGAGCATGTGGGACAGCAGAAGGGTAATGGGAGCAATGTGTAGTGGATCCCATCCTTCAGCTTGCATTTCATTGTGGCTACACCTCCATAAGCTGTAAGCTGTAAGGAGAAGTAACCACAGAGAGGGTAAGGACTCCCATGCATGCCAGGAGCCTTAATCTGCTTCCCAATATGTAAGAGGGAAAATAGAATGATAGAATTGTAAAGTTGGAAGGGGCCCTGAGGACCAACCCCCTGCAGTGCAGAAATATGCAGCTGTCCCATACAGGGATCAAACCTGCAACCTTGGCTTTATCAGCACCGCACTCTAACCACTGATATACTAAGCCTTTAATGGCTGACTAGGTCAGATTTTTCTTTATTGAAGTGAAAAGGCAGTACAGTATGCAGATAAGGAAGACTGAACATTCTCTAACAAAAATCAAAAGCCTGTGTGAAGAGTCAAGTGTGTTTCTGTATACACATGCCTGTAACTAACCCTTCCCTAAAGCTGTGTAATTCCACCCCCCCCCTTTGCATTCTGGCTGCTACCTAAAGGAGTGCCTCCCTCAGAGTCATAGGCAAGGACAATTATCTGGGTCTCTCCCAGTAAGCGGAATTGCTACAAAATTGACTTGGTATCATACTGACAGGAGGGTTCTTCAGTTAGAACCTTAGCAATGTGCGGGGCAGACAGGAACCAGAGATCATCTGACCCTTTCAGACATGGTTGACGGCTTTTGAACATCCATTCCTATCTGCCTTTCCTTACGGGACTAGGGGAATACACTCAAACTTAACTGTAAATGTATTTTCTGACCGAATGATGGAAAACTTAGTCCTCTATTTGTTGTAATATGCTTGCTTACTTAGTCAAGACACTGCTTGACAGAGGTGTTATCATGGAGTGTTCTTTAATCAGCCAGTCTTGAACTTTAATTTGCTGAAAGCTGTTTTGGGAGCTGAGCTCCCAGGGGTACTGGGAGGGTTATGGGAGCTGAGTGGGCCAGTGGTACACATAATTTCCCAGGTGCTGGATGTAGTGCTGTGAACTAGTTACGAGTGATAAAAGAGGGGTGTATACCTAGCAGTGTAAGGGATGAATTTTTTCAATAAATTTGTGTGATGTTAAGTTGTATGCTTAGTTAAAAGAACTGACCACCCTGCAGATTTGGTTTTTGGAATGTGGTAAATATGGGGTTCGCAAACACTAATGTGGCATCTTGGAATATCAGCTATAGACTGGTATGAAGAGATGTTAGCCATAAGCAAGTGGCATGCATGGGAGAAGTATGAATTACTGTACTGAATGTAAGTATTCCTGGACAGAAAGCCGGTAAGAAGGAGCAAGTTCATTTCTCATAACATTATGCATCTTACTTCTCTGTTTCCATCAAGGAACGTAGGAAGATGCCTTCTATTGTGTCAGATCATTGGGCCATCTAGCTCAGTAATTCCTACACTGAATGGCAGCAGCTCATCAGCTTTTGAGGGCTTTGGCCAAGGTGGTTGAATTATCCTAAGTTGTCTTGTCAGAAGAATAAATATGTGCAGCCCAATAATATGCATGCATGTTTACTTGGAAGAATGCTCAATTGAATTTGGCCCAAGACTATAGCTGAAACTGTTTTAAAGCATGCACCAGGCACAGGAACTACCAGAATGTTCTCTAATTGTTATCTTCTGTATTTTTTTGCAGTCTGATTTCTAAGGCTGTTGTTTATTTCCCCAGACAAATATGCTGGCTGCATAGTAATACTGCAACTTTCCCTTCAAGTCAATAGCAGACATTATGGGCTTCATGAATTTCTATAGATGACCAAGCTGTTGATAAAGACTTACATGTGGCAAGTGTTTTTGCTCTAAAAGGAGGCACCTTTTTCTGGAACTTTGCACACAAGGGTTGTGAGACTTCCAGCCATAGCAGCCCCCTGGAGCATTATGTGTGCTTATAAAGGTATTAAGGAATAGAAAGCTTGATAGCTGCCTCAAGCTGAGAAGGAAATGCTGTAAGAGGAGGATTAATCTTAGGGCAATGAATTTTAAAGACTTACTTCTTTTATGTGTTGTGGAAAGCTATCAAAATGCTAATGGTCTACTGCCTTAACCTTCAACAGACACTTTTTATTTCTTAATATGTTCAGTGTTTTGTAAACAACTAATTTAATGGTGGACTGTTGGGAAGATAGTGGTTCCCTTGTACACATCATGGCATTAGTCATATTTGGAAGGTTTCCGCTGCTGTTTTCATGAGCTACAAAGTCAGTGAAAATGGGTGGGTGGTTTTTTAATGAATTGAATGTGGTTGCCTACCTGTCACACTGATGCTGCCTTGTCTATTCTCATGTCATGCCATTATTCTGGTTGTAGCTGCTTTGGCGTGTTCCAGGGCACCAGTGTATTGGTTTTGTGAGCTTCCAAGACACCATGACCAAATTTTCCATTGATTTACAATACTTTTACGTAAATTCTGCAATACTTTGCATGTGAGGAGGAGGCTGAAGTGCATCTGGAGCAATATGGACACCTAATATTATATACATGTGGAAGGCATAGAACTAATGCATTTTAAAATAACAGTTTTATTTGCTTTGAAAGTAATTTTATTATTATTATCCACTTTTAGGATGCAATCCACATTCACTTTGCTGAATTGGACCCCCCCCCCACACATCCAAATCAGCTGAGGAGAGGGAGGAGTTGTAATGTTCCCCTCCTGACAATATGTTGAATTATTATTTTTATTTATTAAACTAATTAAACAGCTCTGCCTCCAAATTAATTAGGGATAGGATCCACTGCTGGATTGGCCCAGGACCAACTTTTGGGGGGTGGGGGCGGAGCGTGGATCAGGGCCACAGGTTGCATGGGGTGGGGCAATACACATCCCTAATAAACCCCTTTCTGAAAGTGCTGCTTCTACAATCTTCAAGGCAGTCTCCTTGTCCTGTTAAAAAGCACCCCCAAACCCAAGAACTAAAATTTCACAGGTTAATAGTTTGGACTTTACTGTCTTTAGAGTTGCAGACTTTGGGCACTTCCAGACTGTTTCTATTTTTAGATGGGATTCAGTCACATACTGGCAAATCCAGGTTCTATAATTATAGCTTAATGCCTTGTACAACAAACCCACTTCTCCAAAAGTTCAGACTTTTGGTGATAAGGAAAGGGATGGGAAAGTGTGGCATAACACATGCTTTGATGCAACTAACCCCTCAGCAAACAGATTAGGATGCATGATCAATAAATAGGTTGTCTAGAAACACCCCTCCTTGCTTAAGTGTGTCCTGGACCTTTGGAGAGACTTAAAATAATTATTTGAAGGGATATGCACAGCTAATGTGGAACTTTCTGATTGACGACTTCATTAACAGTAGGCAACATTTGCACCCTTCTGATCCCTAATCATCTGAAATAATAAAAAGATTTTTTGAGAGTTAAAAGTAGCAAAGATAGATATCAAATGATGCTAACAGCTGACTTAAGCATGATGGTGCTGTGGGTTAAACCACAGAGCCTAGGGCTTGCCGATCAGAAGGTCGGTGGTTCGAATCCCCATGACTGGGTGAGCTCCTGTTGCTCGGTCCCTCCTCCTGCCAACCTAGCAATTCAAAAGCATGAAGCGCTGCTCTGATTCGCCAGAAGTGGCTTAGTCATGCTGGCCACATGACCTCTACGCCAGCTTCCTCAGCCAGTAAAGCAAGATGAGCGCTGCAACCCCAGAGTCGTTCGCGACTGGACCTAACGGTCAGGGGTCTCTTTACCTTTACCTTTACTCTCCTACATGTTTATTACTTGTACAATTCCACGAACTTTTTGGCAGCTAGCTATTCTGAACCAGGTTCTGTTTGCTCTCTTTTCTTAAAAATATTACCATGCACTTGGCTGTTTGGAGATGCTTCGTGATGATGTTGTTGTTTGTTTAGTCGTTTAGTCGTGACCAACACTTCGTGACCCCATGGACCAGAGCACGCCAGGCACTCCTGTCTTCCACTGCCTCCCGCAGTTTGGTCAAACTCATGTTTGTAGCTCCGAGAACATGATACGTTTCATGATACGTTTGTTTAAAAGAGATTTTGGCTACCACGTCATAGCCGTGTGGATGGTTTGAGTTGTTTTATTTTATGTTTTGTATTTGATCGAAAACTTTGTATCTCAATAGTCTAAGTCAATATTTTGGATAGTGTGTTATCCACATGGTTTCTGTTGGCTAATATATGCAAGATAATTGACCATTTTGTTTATTTTGTTTCTAGTGAAATGAAATTTATTGTTTCTAGAACAAGAGGTGGGGAAAGAGATTTTGCTATATTGCATTTTGTAGGCAACATTGTACTTCAGTCATCTTTGAGATATCAACATCAGTCAGATTCTGGTAATAAATATCTGAGACAGACATCCCATTACCCTTCTGTGAAATATTCTGGAACAATGAAGCTGCCTGTACATGTAATCATGACTACTGAGACATATTTTTTTCTCTCTGTGGGATGTTCTGTTTCATAGAACTGCAGGCTTGAGGGTTGCAGTCACCATTGGGCCCTCCAGTGAGCATTTTAAAAGTTATTTTTACCACTGAACAGTATCTTTATAGCAGCTACTTTAATCTTTTTCTGCTGCTCCAGTCAACCACTCTTTGTTTTCTTACTTTTGATCGTTCTACTCTCAGACAAATTAAAAGGATACTGTGTCATTTTGCTCTAAAGTTTGTGGCAATCCAGGGTAGGGAGAAAGAGAGATGATACAAAGCTTGGTCTTGGGGATCAAGTGGATATATTTAAAGCACAACTATGGGAACAAAGATTCTTGGAATAATGTGGTGTTCATATTTGTTGCCACTTTCATCCTTGAGGATGAGAGCTGCAAAATGTGTAAAGTTTTGATTGGTTCCATATCTCCTGGTGAAAACGGTTTGCCCTTAGCTTGGTTTGGCATCCCCCATCCCAAATATACCAATATACAGGCAATCTTTCTGTGGGCCACTGGCAGAGGAAGAAGAGTGTGGGGGGAGCGCACCGCCCCCGGCAGTGCGATCCCGGTAGAGTGCCATTGCTGCTCCCCCCCACGCGCTGGGTGCCACATCCTTGCAGGCGGTGTGCCCTGCCCCCCGGGACGCGCGCCCTGCCCCTGCAGGCAGTGTGCCCCGCCCCCGGGATGCACGCCAGCCCACCCCCCGGTGCCGGAGCATGAGGCTCCGCCACTGCTGTGAGCTGTTCTTTGCCAGATTTGACCTGGGCAACTTTGTGTTGTTGTTTTAAAAAACATATGAGCTGGATAAACCACCAGCAACAACCAAGGATTTATATGAGATTACAAATAACTCATACAGAAAGGACTGACTGGCAGTAGCAGGGAATGC